TTCACGTCCCAGCTCTCCGCTGTCTCGCTGTGTGACCTCAGGCAGTGCCTGTCCCCTCTCTGAGCTCCAGTTTCCTCCTTTGTCCCCTCTGTGATGTGGACTGGAACCTCCGTGTGTCACTTCTGGGACTGAACTCACGACTGAGTCTCGTTCATCACGGTGTCCCTGATGGTGTCTCTCTAGGGTCTGGAACAGGGCTCATGCTCCATCCGAGTTTGTGGACAGCTGACCAGGGTGGCGGTGGTATTACAACGGGGCCCAGCCTCCGGGAAGAAAGCAAGTTTCTGGCTTGATGGGCTTTGGGGACAGGCTGACTGGATTCTTTGCTTCTGAGGGGCCGAGGAGGGGAGGTGGGTAAGAAAAAGCATTTGGACCTTCTGTCCCCTCTCTTAGCTTCACCCGCCTGCAGAACACTCCCTCTCCTGGGGTTCAGGCCCTTCTGGCACTTTGTCAGGCAGGTGCTCCCTCCCCTGCAGGCCAGCCCTCTTCCCTGCTGATGGGAAGGACAGAGGGAACAGCATTAATTCCCTCTGTGTGCTGAAGAGTTTATGTTCATCTCATCTGTTTTACCCATAAAGCCCCTTCCAGTTAATCAGTCACTGAGGTCCCCAAACACTCCCCACCTTCACAGCCTAGATAGAGGCAGGGGAGGCAGAAGCCAAGCAAGAAAGCCTGTGCTGACGGGTCAGCGGGCACTTTATCCACAGTCAGGTTGGTAAGAGCTGCAGGGTCATGGGAGCACCTGGAGGCTAAGGCAGCCTTAGGCGGTAACAACAGAGGTAGCAGTCCTAGAACAGAGGAGGGGACTTCTCTACACCACTCCACGATGGTCAGGCCATTCCAGAGCTTTAGTTCTGGCTCCCCTACGCCCACCTGGGAGAGAGCAGGTCCAACTGGAGAAGATTCAGAGATGGACATTCAGGGTTGTGGGGGAGGGACATGGGTCTGAAAACATGACCTGCTGGGGCAGTTGGAGAAAAAGTTTGGAGGAAAGGTGAGGGGACCCAGGAGCCGGAGGTCGGTTGGTATAAAGAAGATAGAGTTATCTCAGGATGGATGGATTGATTGATAAATGTATTCATCCATCTCTCCCCATCCATCTGTTCATCCATAATCTGTCCATCTCTGTCCCTCCATCCTCCATCCCTCCGCCCACCCACACACTCACTGGGAGGCAGTGGGCATGAAGGTTTGGGGTGCCAGTTCTGGATGAGTTTGATGAGGCCAAGCCCCAAGGTCTGTCAAGTGTCCAGTGCCGTCTGCAGTTATCAGTCACTTTATTAGTGACTTGTGTAAACTTAGGCAACCTCTCTGAGCCTTGCTTTTCCCAGATGGAAAATGGGGAGAGTTATACTTCGGTATCTGTGACGGTTATACACAGCTGGAGAGTTGCCAGGTCCAAGTGACCATCCAGACAGATATGTCTGTGGCTAGACCTCCAGCTCAGAGGGGCGCGGTGCTGGACCACTGATGTGTTTGCCAATGGACGTGCCCCCTGCCTCCGAGCCGTGGCACCCACTCTGCAGGGAGAGCCCAGACAGTATTTGAGGGTATCAGGCAGCAAGTTGCGGCTCCTGTCCCCACCCGGCTCTGTGTACAGGAGCCTTGACCCCCATCCATTCTTCCCTGGGAGGGAAGAAGCCTCTCAGTTCCCTCCTCCGGGGAGGGGGGAGGAACAGGGGAGAGCTGACAGCTCCGTGCTCACTCCCCAGTCCGCGGTAGTCCCGAGCTACAGAAATAAATGAAACTGTATAGTTGGAGTCGTTTGCTAATTAGTTTAAGTAACACCCCCAGTCAGAGACAGGACATAAATACATTAGCAGGGCTCCCCCAGCCGGGGCGGTGCTCAGAGTGGGATGGATGGGAGACGTGAAGTCGAAACATAGATTCAGAGCTGGAAGGCTGTGGGCAGAGGCCACCCCTCATCCTCCGATTGCCATGCGGGAAGGGGCTCAGCGAGAGTCCCCGGCTGACTCCGTGGCCTGGCGGCCTTGAAGGAGTCGGAGTCGCTGACCCAGAGATGTGGGATCAGCTGGACCCATGTCCAGGGGCCCCTCCCCTGCTCACTGCTGTGGGACCTGGACAGGTTCCTGACCCGAGAGCCTCATTTTCCCCAGCTACAGAGCGTATCTTGGAAAGTTCCTTGGGGATTGGAGGGGTCAGCCTTTACCCAGGGTGGCTGGCCCCACGATGGGGTCCAGGAGATGGTGGTCTTCTCTGGGGTGTCCTCCACGACCCTCCCCCAGATGCTCAGGCCCCCGCAAACCTCCTCCCTCCCCGCGGGCAGCCGGAGCAGGGCCACTGAGGGGTTCTCTGCTCCATGTCACCCTGTGATGCTTTCGGCGGCTTCATTTGCCAGATTTCTGCTGGGACCTGCTGGGGATGGGACGAGCGAAGCAAACATATCTGGTCCTGTGCCCCTGCAGCTCTCTGGCTCGGCTTGGGAAGCAAACAGTTACTCTGCACCCCTCAGCCGGGCCCAGAAAGGTGGGCTGTGATGGAAGTAGGAGGGTGGGCACGGTGGGGAGGCAGAAGGCCTGGAGAGCCACCCCCGCCACCTGACTGGCAGCACCGAGGGGCAGGGGCCTGCCAGGAGTGGGCAGTTCCTCAAAATGAGTGACGTGGGCTGGGTGTGTGTAGTAGGGACAGGTGCGGACTGGGGCAGATGGACACTGGCTTCCGGTCTAAGGGAAGCACAGATACTCAGCACTTGACTGAGCCAGGAGCATGAAATTTTAAAATTGATTGATCGATTTTTAGAAAACAAAGAATGGCATTTTATTGGGACTTTTTTGCATTTTTTATGTTGGCAACCAGATTCAAATAGAAAAGTTATGCCAAACGAAATGTGCCTCTGGGCAGGTCTGGCCTGCAAACGGGGCCCGGGGAAGCTGACACTGTGAATACCAAGTGCTGCTTGTCTCTGTTCAGTGTCTTCTGAAACCCCAGAGCGGTTTGGAGGGGTGGGTGTTCTTCTTCCTGCTTTCTGGGGGGCGGAGACCGAGGCACACAGCTGGTGAGTGGCAGAGCTGGGTCTGGGACCCAGGCCATAGAGCCTGTCATTGTGTCGGGGCTCCCAGAGTTGATAAACGCCAAGGAGGAGAAAACCCTCTTTTCTCAAACTTGTGAAGGACTCTGGGGCGGCGGGAGAGGCAGCGATGAGCAAGATTATGGTTTTCTGCCAGTTTTTGGGCGAACTTCTGTCTTGTTCCCTTCCCCCCTCCGTGGCCGGGCTGGGACTCAGGTGGCCCTCAGGCAGCCGCTTGCCAGGGCCACAGAGCTCGAGACCAGACAGGATGTGTAGGTCCTGGTCTCGGGGGTGGGGGTGGGGTGTGAAGAAAGAAGATTCTAACTACGTTCTGGACTCTTCTGTTCCCTTGCCATTAGAATACAATAGTTGTAGTTACAGTGCCCGAAACATTGTTGTATTATTGTTTATTATTCTCACGATTGATTGTTTGCCACCAGGCTCGCCCTGCCCCTTCCCGGAGCCCACACGGGGCTGGGAAAAGCACACTTCTTCCTAGATCGCCCATCAGGAGCCGAGTCTGATCACACGTCTGTCCCATCCGATCCGATACTGTGGGCGTCAGTTCTCAGTGAGGCAAACGGTCCTTAGAAGTTGGGGCATTTCTGGAATTGGGTTCCTGACAGAACACTCACAGGGCAGAGGATACACTTTCACGAAGGCCCTGCTCTTCCTGGGAGGGGGCGGGGGCAGGGAGGTCCTTAGCTCCCAGGAAGGGGCATTCCCCAGGCACACCCTCCGTGGTCAGGGGAAACTGAGGCTCAGAGAGGTTGAGTGACTTGCTCATTTGAGAGGTGACAGAGCTGGGATTGGAACTGAAGCCAGCGGGCTCCCAAACTGAGCACTGCGGCTGTGTGTGCTCTTGTGGGGGTCATGGCCATCCGGGGTCAGAGAATAAGCGCTATGAAGGGTGGATCTCCAGCAGCCAGGCGGCCTGTTGCTCTTCCTTCTCCGTTTGCCAGGAGCCGGGAGGTTGAGGCCCCTTGGGAGGGTTCCCCGACATGTCACCCAGGGGCCCCCCCAGACAGAAGGCTGGAGGGGCCAGGAGAAGGACTTGGGCCTCCGGGTTGGCTCAGCTTCAACATTACATTTTCATCCAAATCGGGGCCAACAGGTACTGTCAGAACTTTTTCTCTAGGCCCAGGGAGCCCGGCAACTGAGGCAGGTGGGCGATGGGGAGGCAGAGACCCGAGTCTGGGGTCAGGCTCTTTTCTGGGGGGCAGTGGGGGCCAAGGGTGGGGGTGGTGGTTTACTGAGTCCGAGGGGCTGTGGTAGTGGGGGGGCGGCCCACAGCCATGTCAGGCAGGAGACAGCACCCACACCCGCTCAGGGCATCTGCAAGGTGGGGCCCCAGAGGAAGAAAGGGAAGGAAGGAAGCTGTGGAAGAATGGCCCGGGGCTCTGCACAGAGCCAAGCTGGAAGGACCTGTTACTGGTTCAGCATGTGGTCTGCATAGACAGCTTTGTCTGGATTGCATTTGGCTTGGACAGTCAGGGTAGGCCCTTCCCCAAAGCGTGGGGTCTCCAGAGGTTTCACACGGGATCTGCAAGGAACTTGTGCTTCCTGCTGGAGCGTGGAGGCTCCCGAGTCAGGCCCCCGCGGGGTGAGTGGCCTGGGACAGTGAGGCTGGGGGGCCAGGCCTGGAGGTCCGGGGTGGGGTCTCCTTTCAGGGGAAAAGTGGCTCAGACAGAGGAACCCGAGGCGGGTAAGTCCTGAGGATGAGGCCAGGGGCCCTCCTGCTGGCCTGGGTCTGGTGGCCTGTCACCTAGCTGCCACCGGAGCAGGCAGGCTGCAGGGAGGAGGATGGGCCTCCTGCCGTGCCTCTGATCTAAGGGCATGGATGGGGGAGCGAGCAGCGGGGGCTGCTCCGCCGGGGATCCCGGTGCCTGTCGCCCGCCACCCTCCCCCCGCTGGGGGGTGGCTCTCAGCAGGCCAACAGCGGTGTCCTGCGTGTCTCTGTCCACCCCTGCAGGTAGCCTGCCCTACGAGTATAAGATCGTGATTGCCGGCAACCATGAGCTGACCTTCGACCAGGAGTTCATGGCTGACCTCATCAAGCAAGACTTTTACTACTTCCCGTCTGTGTCGAAGCTGAAGCCAGAGAACTATGAGAACGTGCAGTCCCTGCTGACCAACTGTATCTACCTGCAGGACTCGGAGGTCACTGTGCGGGGCTTCCGGATCTACGGCTCGCCGTGGTGAGTGCGCCCTGGGTGCCTTCCTGACCTCAGGCTGGGCGCTGGGGGAGGTGGGGCTGGGAGAAGCACTGGGGAGCTCCAGATCTCAGCTCTTCCTGCACCCCTGTGTGGCCCCCGGCAGGCCCCCATATCTAACTGGCAAGTAGTTCTATCAGCTGTGTCCTCTGTGCTGTTCGTCTCACATACAGACGGCTACTGTTATTATCCCCAGTTTCCAGGTGAGCAAACTGAGGCACAGAGAGCTTGAGGATCTTGCCAAATGTCATGCAGCTAGGAAGGGGCAAAGCTGGGATTAAACCCAGGCACTCTGGTTCCAGAACCCCTGCTTTCAACCATTACTGTGTATGCTAGGAATCTCCCCATTGCCCATGTCCCCTGACACACACCAGAGATGCGTGGGTGAGGGGTGACGAGTGATCAGCCAGGCTGAGGAAAGGCAGTTGTAATTTTCATGGAAGGCCGAAGACCTGGTTTACTGTGTCGGGGATGGCGGTTGTTTCAATCGTGAGTACATATCAAGCTCTTACTCTCTGTTGGGTGCACAGAATAATCAGGCCTCATCCCTGGCTCAGTGGGGATCACGGTGAGAAAGAGCCATGACTCTTCTGTGTGATGGTCAGTGTGTCCATCAGAGCTCTGGTGATGATGATGGGGATGATGATGGGGATGATGGTTGTGATGGCCATTGTAGTGGTGATGATGATGATCATGATGGTGAAAGTGATGATGTTGATGGTGGTGATGGTGATGATGATGATGATGGTGATGATGGTGATGATGATGGTGATGATGGTGATGATGATTAATTAAGATGATGGTGATGAATGTGCTCACTTCAGCACATACACTAAGATGACGGTGATGATTATGATGGTGATGGTGATGATGGTGGGCAGCAAATCACTCCTGAGCAAATTCAGTAAGCTGGTCCCTGTGCTAAAGTGTCCATAAGCATTGTTTCTAATTCTTACTCAGCCCTGAGCAGACTGATTTATTGTCCCCATTCTGTAGGTGGACAGGCCAAGTGGCCCTTAGCAGACTTAGAGCTGGCAATAGCCACAGGGTGCCAAGTGCTGGCAGGGTGAGGAGGATACCATACACAGTGGGGAGAGGTCACATGTCCTTGAAAGTGTGGCGTGATTCCAGAAGGCTCCTTGGAGGAGGTGAGGTGACCTGAGCTGTGAAGGAGGAGAAGGGCATTCACAGCTATGGAGGGGTAACGGCCTGAAGCTGCACCATCAGAGCAGTACATGCAGGGAGGCTGAGGGATGATTTGGGGGCACACGGGGACTGTATGGGTGCAGGGACTTTGGGGGAGAGATGTTACCAACACAGTGTGTCTGGGAGAACCCGGGCTGCCTGGTGGATGCCCTGTGGTGACACCTGGTGGCCAGAGGCTGCTGGCGGGTTTAGGACCTGGTTCCATCTTGCCAAGGCCTCCTCATGGGGCAGAAGGAAGATGTGGGCTGTCCCATTGTCCCTGAGCCACAGGAGGTGCCTGCTGCCATCTCTCTGGTCCTCATCGTGTCTGGGGTCTTGATGATCTCCCTGGGGTCTTGATGATCAAGGACCACTGGGGCACTTGAGGACATGATGAGCTCAGTGCCAAGGACAGGAGCGGAGAGGAGACGGTTGAATCTGCCTGGCAGGCCACTGGAGCCCAGATTTGGAGAAGGAGTCTGGCTGAACATGCTGCAAGGACTGGAGCGTGAGGTGCAAGAGGGAAGTCAGGAGGGCCGAGGGGGAGGCCTTCAGGTACCAGACCAGGCAGCCTGGACTGCATCTCCTTGCCCAGTATTTTGAACACCCCCTTACCCCTGCACGTCCACATACATACACAACCCTTTAAAAAAATATTCTATTCTATAGGAGTTAGTGTGGTTTTGGAACCAAACTGCTTGGGCTCAAATCTTGGCCTCAAATTCCTGAATTTGCTCAGGAATGATTTGCTGCTTTTATGAGCTGTGTGACCCTGGGTAAGTCACTTAACCTCTCTGTGCCCCAGTTTCCTTCCCTGCAGAATGGAAGTGACAGTGCACGTCCTGCAGAGGGTGGTCGTGAAGGTGTCAGGAGGGTTTAGCTGGGCCTGGTATCTGTACCAATAAGCTCTTCATGAACAGAGACCCCATTGCTGTTATTTGCTGCAGAGACCAGCCTTCCAACACCGCCTTGTCCAGAACCCAGTATGTGGGCTGGAGGATAAGCAGGGGATGGGGACTGGCAGGTGTCACTCAGTGTCCACCCCCTTCCCCCAGAGCAGCTGTATGCACCCCTATGGCTGGGGGCTGAGCAACCCCTTTGACAGTCTGCTCTCAGGCTCATGGGTGCTTGGAGGGCCAGGGTGTTGGGACAGCCCTGTTGTCCCCTCTGCCAGCTAGAGGCCAAGTGCTGGTGCTCCCGAGGCCTGAGTGAGGTCCAGCCGCCCTGTGCTTGGGCCGCCAGTGGCTACTGCCTTTGGCTTTTGGGATTTCCAGCCTGACAGTTCTAGACCCTTTAGTTCCAGAATTTTCCTGGGGCCTTACTGCTTTCTCCTTGACCCCCTTACCTGTCATCCTGGCTGGCTGGGTGCACACCCACTGCCTGATGCCATGTGGAGCCTAGTACTGAGTGCGGGAGTGAGAGGCTTAGGCCAGAGAAGGGACCTCAGGAGGCCTTGGTGAGATCCAGGAGGGCTCCCTGTCGGAGGGGGGTTTGAACTGCAGTTTCCGCAAGCGGAGGGGGCAGGAGAGGAGCCATATTTCTGAGTCCCATTCTGTGCCAGGCTCCCCCAGAATCTTCTGGATGCTGTTTGGGCAGCCGTCGATGCCGAGGGCTGAGTGGTACCTTGTCTATGCTCCCCATGCAGGCCATGGGCTGGTGTTTTCAGCAGCTGCCCTGATTTCCCTTGGGCCCCATCTGGGGCTGGGAGCAGGTGTTGGATGTCACAGCAACAAGCACGGCCCAGCGGTTGGTTGGTAAGGGAAGGGCTGTTCAAATTGGGACACTATGAATATGTAGCTGTGTGACGTCGGGCAAGTGCCTTAGCCTCTCTGGTCCTTCTGTGGAGTGAGGAAATGATACTACCACATTATAGGCAGTTGTGAAGTCTGTGTGGGCCCATCCAGATGAAGGCCTGGCCCAGAGCAAGGCCCTGGAGGTTGGTTGTAATTACTATTACTGGGAACTCCTGGGGTGGAGGCCGGGATGGGGTTAGCTCTACTCCAGCTGATACCTCAGCAACCCCCAAGGCTGGGCCAGGACTCTATCCCATTTCACAGAAGGGCAAGTAGAGGCGCAGGTGGGCTGTGGCTTGCCCAAGGCCACATAATGACTCGTTGTCTGGACTCCTAGTCTGGGCTCTTCCTGCTCCAGCATAGAAGTCAGTGTCCTTGTATGAACATGTACTCAGTTCCGGGCCCAGAACAATGGGTCTGTATGGGTTCCTTGGTTCTCCAAAAAACCTTCTGATGCACCTGGGTCTTACTGGCTCTGTGAGGATATTGAGGCCAGTGGATCCAGTCAGTGTTCTTGTGGTCTCCTGTTAATTGCTTCGTTCATTTGTCAAGGCTGTATTGAATGCTACACACTGATCTAGGCCCTGGGGACATGCTGTGAACCAGACAGGTGCAGCTTTGGCCTTCACGGGGTTTATGTCCTCGTGGGAGACACATCAGCCGCCAAATCCTTGATTCCATAAGGGCCAGGAGGAGAGGGGCTGGGAGCTGGGGTCAGGGAAGGCTTCCCCTGGGAGAGGGGCTGGGAGCTGGGGTCAGGGAAGGCTTCCCCTGGGAGAGGGGCTGG